CAGGAAGCAGGACTCATGGGTCAGACAGCAGGTGAAAGGGAACAAGAGCTCCGATCCTCTGTGGAAACATGCCGGCTTCATCATGGCTCAGCTGGACGGATTGCAGGCAGGAGTGGCAGCGTGGGCCAAGAAGCAAGGGAAGAAGGTAGGATAACCATGTGACCAAAAACAAGAACAGTGAAAAATTACTAACAAATAAATCTGCACTCTGAGATGCAGAAGCATCAACCAACAGTTTCATATCAGGTTTCACAGGCATAAGTCATGTTAAATATAAAAAGTAGAAGTAATAGTACTTAAGAAGATTTTTATAAATATGCTATAGAGCCAATAGTGTTACATTAATGGCACTAGCAGTAATACTACATACCAGCAGTTATGAATTCAAATAATTATTTTATTTAATGGATCGACTTTTGTTTGCTGTAAGATGTGAGAGGACTTATGTTTTCTTTTCTCATAATTAATTATTTTGTAGCTTTTATTCTGTATGTTTTTGGGGTTTTTGATAAATGGCCGTCTCACATCAGGAGCAGCAGCAGTGTTTGTTTGCATTTGATGACCAGCTGTTTATCTGTTGTCCTTCCCAAAGCCGCTGACGCTGTTTGACGTCCAGTTCCTGAACTCTGTGGGAGACCTGCTGGATCTGATCCCAGCCCTGGTCCCCAGCTCCTATCCTTCACTCAGAGACTTCAAACTTCCAGGGATGGGCCACTGCTCTGCACTCATCAAGGTCAGAGGTCAAAACACAAGATAATCACAGACTGTATATAAAAGATGGATATAGAGACCAAAAGTGACGCTAGCGATGCCTAAAATCAACTCACTCTTTCTTCTGGTTGCAAAAGGTAGTCTGACTTTGAAGAAGCATCTGATCTATGAACTCCGTAAACATCTTACTTTTCAGTTCCTCCTCTCAGCCGCTGGTTTCAAGTCTTGGTGAATAAACCGAAATGTTCCGTTTCTGCAACATAAAACGAGCAGTTGATAAGTTCACTTTATGAAGATGTGGTGTCTCCTCTTTCTCATCAAGTTTGAGGGGGGAAAAAATATGGCAACCGATAAAATGCCAAACCCGAGGATCTAAAACACAAGTCTGCGCACAGCTTTCAGTGGCCATCTTTTATATACAGTCTACGATCCTGATCAGGCTCTTATTCTTATTAGATATTAAAAAAAAATACACATAACACAAAAAGCAGCTGATGTATATGAGTAGTTCCTCAAATTTTCTTCACAGCAAATTAGTAATGCTTCACTGACATCAGCTGTAACCTGATTTTCATAGGTGTGCAAAATAAGAAGAACAAGAAACTACCAGTGAAGAGCAAATTTCCTGTGTAATCGAATGTGCTGGTGCATTAGTGCAGTAACGCATTATTCATCTTTATTTCATATTTAAAGAAACTAAGTTTAATTTTCAGTCTCATAATTAAATCAGGGGACAGTTTTGTACACAGAGGTGCATATTCTAAAACCTGTAACTTCAAAGTGTTTTTTGCACAGCAGCTTTAACAAATGTATGTTTGTGCTAAATAACAGGCCAAATTTAAAAGTCCTATAACGCCACCTGTTCTGACTTTTGTTTTATCTGTTTTGTGGCTTTTGTTGAAAGGATATTCTTGAATTTAAGTTAATTATCTAACTAAACCAATGTTATTATGTTGGTTAAGCTACATAACTGTTGGACATGACGCACGATTGTCTCATTACTGATTTCTGTCATCATCTTTAGATGCTGCCGGGGTACGAGAACCTCCTGTTCGCTCATTCCAGCTGGTACACGTATGCTGCTTCGATGCGGATTTACAAACACTGGGACTTTCACATCAGCGAGCCCCATACAGCCACTGGAAAACTATCCTTTAGCAGCTACCCTGGTATGTAAGAAAGCAAGAGCATCAGTGAAAATTTTTTACAATCTTTTAAAACGTGTCCTATCCAAGACAGGCAGCATTACAATCAGTAACTGCACAGACTAGTACAACACAGATGAAAATACACAGCAAAAAACACACTAAAACTATAAGAATGTAAAACTGATGGAGTAAAACACAAACACAACCAACATTTATGAACTGCTGAAACAAACATAAATAAAAGTAAAAGTCACTGAGTTTATTGAATAGTGCTGTGCTGTTAATATTCATGCAGTACATTTGTAGTAGCTGCCTCCAGGTCAGTAAAAGACGTCTTAAATGGATTTGGTGAGATCAGCTTCTTATGTTTTAGATTTTGTTGATGATTCCACTTCGTAATTCAGTCAGTGTCAGCCATCTCCAGAAGGCCAACCATTCATTCTGCTGTCTCTGTATAACAATTTTGGTTATCTCGCCCTCGTCAAACATGGCACACATGCAAAAAGAACATCATTATGGAAGAAGATCATCCATAAAGCTCATGTTTGTAATGTGGCTTGTTTGTGGCTTCAGGGTTCCTGGTGTCGCTGGATGACTTCTACCTCTTGGGAAGTGGTCTGATGATGACGCAGACGACCAACAATGTCTTCAACTCCTCCCTTTTTGACACAATCACCCCAAATAGCCTACTGGCCTGGCAGAGGGTCAGGCTGGCTCACAGTTTGGCAAAAACTGGAGAAGAATGGGCCAAAACCTTTTCCATGTATAACTCTGGTGAGCATGTCTGCCTTATGTACATGGATCTTTATACACGAAGCACAGAGACTGTGCTGTGTTTTGATAGAAAAAGCTAAATCATGCTCAGGCCTCTTTATTAAACTTTTTTCTCTTCCATAAATCCACCTGTAACTCTTGCAGGAACCTACAACAATCAGTACATGGTGTTGGACAGAAGCAAAGTGAAGCTGGGTCACAGTCTTGACGACGGTGCGCTGACTGTGGTGGAGCAGATCCCCAGCTTGGTGGAGTACTCGGACCAGACACAGACTCTGCGCAGAGGCAGCTAATCATTTTCTACATTCAATTGTATTTTGTATTTTATTTCATTTTTAGACTTTTCTGTGATTTCGTCACCACATCCATTTCTTACAGGTTATTGGCCGTCCTACAACATTCCTTTCCATCGGAATATCTACACAATGAGTGGTTACGTAGAAATGTGGGAGCAGTACGGAGAGGACTTCTCCTATGACCTCTGTCCCAGAGCCAAGATCTTTCGCCGTGACCAGTGTGGCGTTAAGGACCTGGAGTCCTTGAAGCGCATCATGAGATTCAATGGTGTGTTAGTTTTAGCTCATTCTGCTGACTCTTTGTATGTTGCTGTTTCATAAGCTAGATTTTTGGCTGCAGTACACTTCATTAGTTACATCTTGTTAGAGGCACACATTCAACAAGCTGCTGGATTCAAATCACATCTAGCAGTTTGAGATGATCTGAGCTTTGCGATGTGGTCCGTTGTCCTGCTGGAAGCAGCCATTAGAAGATTGGTAGAACATGTTCATAACAGTCATAACAATACTGAAGTGGATTTGGGGATTTAAATGATGCTCAGTTTGAACTTTAGCAGGTTGTCTTCACCATGTCTATGTGCATAAATCCACAGTGTTACTGCTGTTTTACTGTCTGATTAGATATTTGCACTAACAAGTAGTTGAACAACTGTACCTAATTAAGTGGCCTTTTCCTAGCTATTCTGATAGCTATAGCTTGAGCTGATATAGTTTTATACATTTCTTTTCGGTACCTCTTCTGTTCAGACTTGTTGCACGTCTGTTTAAACCAAAGATGCACAGGTAGAGCATTTCTTCCCAACCAGGTCCACGAGTGTCCCAGGGTTTCTTCTGCAGTAGCCAGTGTGATAGCTGAACTGTGACACAGAATTAGGCTTAGTTGGATCTCTGTTTAATTTTTGAAATTGTTTCATTTCTTTTTCCAGTAGCCACCCATTTACATTCACAAGCATGATATTTTTGGTTTGCTTGTTTTCAGACTACAAGAAGGATCCATACTCAAAGGGTGACCCCTGCAAGTCCATCTGTTGCCGTAACGACCTGCAAAGCGAGAGGCCTTCACCAGGAGGCTGCTATGACACTAAGGTATTCCCAGAGCGCCACATTAGCCTTTTCATCAGTAGCAGTCATGCAGGTTTCATGAATTCAGATGCTTTTAAGCTCTACCCAGCTTTCTTCTTGTTGGCGTCTTTTTCCCTGTGCAGGTGACAGATTTCCACTTGGCTGGGGATTTCCGTGCGGAGGCGGTGAACGGGCCAACAACACAGGACGGACTCCCGCCGTTCTTTTGGGACAAATTCGGCAGCATTAGCCACCAGGGCCTGCCACAGTATTACAACTTCACCTTTATCAAGATGCAGCCCATTCTTTTCGATCCATGAGCATCAGTGTGTGACTGTGTGCGCGCGACAGAGATTCTTTCAGGGTAATGGAGGTCCACGCCCATCTGTACAACCCAGTGAGTTTCTGGGAGGCGGGTTTTATCTGTCCTTTCAATGTCCATCCAGCAGATGATTTTTTTTCTGCATGTTTGCTATTGCATCCATGAGTAGATCTCCTTTCTTCTCAGCAGTCACTTTTTTTTTCTTTTTTTTTTTTATATATAGGATTTCATTCAGCACTGGTAAACACAGATTTCTGATCTATTTCTAAACACGTTTTTTTTCCCAGGGTGTCCTGTGTGCAGCCATTGGTGCCTTTGATTCTCACAGTAGCTTTATGATATAATAAAATAGCAAATCACAAAATCAGCAGATGTGCCACCTTAAAGTAAAATCTTTATTTTTGATGCTTGAATGTCTTCATATATACAAACACTATTGCTGCAGTAGAGGAAACAATCAGTGCAATGCCTCAGGACTCAGGAGCTGATCATCTCTTATGATCTGATTTTTGTTTGCTGCTTTTTTTATTGTGCTGTGCAAAATTAAAAACCTCTTTTTGTATTTTTGTGTTTCTTTCTTTGCATGTCTACGATATGCCTTTTATTCCATTTTTGTTTTACACTTAAATTCTCACAGTCTGGACTTTCAGCTACTCGGGTTTAGATTTTTTTTCTGGTGCAGGGTCATTTGATGTGTGAGATTTTAAAACATATGTTTGAGTGATTAAGTTTAAACTTTACTCAGATTTCAGTTAGTCTTCCTCACAATCTAAACTCAGTTCTATTAAATCTACATCAAATTAAGTGAGCTCAAGTTTAGGCTTTAAATCAGATCCCCACAAAAAGAAATCAAACCAGGACATTAGGATTGGAATCTCATCGAGCTCTGCGGTGAACTTCTCTAAATGAATGTGGCTCTAAGCCTCCATCAGTTACTTATCACCAGATTTAGCATTAGAGTTCTTAAGCCTTTGATCTTTTATCACCAAAGTCAAATCTAGTGATCAAGTGGATTGTTCATGTGAGTTTGAGCCTTTCATAAATATTTAATGGAAAAGTAACAAAGCAAGACAATTCGAAAACTTGTCTTCTTCTGTAGCTGTCTCCGAAAAAAGTGATTTTTGGTATTGGCCCGTAAACCTATGTCAATTTAATGAAGCAGAAAAATGTTTATAATTTTATACATACTTGTAATTGGCTGTAAAGTCTTATTTTACATCATACATATGACAGCTGGGATAGACTCCAGCGGCCCCCGCGACCCTGAAAAGGATAAGCGGAAGCGAATGGATGGATGGTCTTATTTTACATTGTTGGAATTGCAGCTACTAGTACACAGATTGGAAAACTGATCAGTTACATTCGTTGGTCACCAAGACCGACTAGCAATCAAAATGCATTTCACTTTGATCTGCCAACAAAATAAAGAGATTTACACGTCCTTACCTGTCCTGTGGGACAGAAACATTTAATGTTTAAATGTATCCAGATTACAGTTTCAGAGCTCTGATGCGCACTCTTCAAATTAGAAATAAACATCAACAAAATCCCAGATTTTCTGCAGCATTAATCTCTTGTCTTGTGTGCAAAGATATTGCATTCAACTGTTATTTTTGTTTTACATTCTTTATACATTTAATCGTCATCATTTGTGAGTAAGTTGCACTCATAGAAGCCGCCTTTTTTTCTGCGGAAGAAGAGTCACATGATCCGAGAAATGCTCCTTTTTTTTTTGTTGTTGTTTATTTATGCGAACACAGATCCGGGGTGTACCGGAAGCAGAAAACCCGACTTATCAGAGAAAGTTGATAACCATCGTCGCGACAATCGTTATCTCCAGCTGAGGTTTGGGGGTTAACCAGCTAACGCAAAGAAAGCCTGGTTGTACTGATCTCCCATCGTAGTTTTCCCCTCAGAGAGGGTGAGCCGCTGTTTTCATCATTGCTATCGTAGCAAGCGCAATTTGAATTTGAAAGTTGTGGGTCCACCTTTAGATGGTGCCTGTTTTGTGTGTTTTTGTTTTTTCCTGATCACAGTGGGGTCACAGAAAGCATCTTTACCTGAGCTCACTGTGGTTTCTTTGCTTTAACTGTCTGTCCAGTGTGCTGAACCGCATCACTGGGTGCTGAAATTTACCCGGTGATGCGCTTTGAGCATTTTAGCGGTTTGTTTTGTTCTTTTATAAAACAGAGGTCTTATTCAGTGATATGTGTCTTTGCTCAAGGCTTGAGGACCAGCAGCATATAAGGTCAAATATCTGCATAATTCTTGGCCCCTCTGTGCAAAGGGTTCTGAAATCTGACCCCATGCACTGTGCGTTCATTGCAAACAATATTTCCAGTGGTTGGGGGGAAAAAGACTGATAAAGCCGTCATGTTGAGATGTCTGCAGTGAAGAGTCTGTTTAATATAAACCTGCAAGCTTGAAAGTCAGGAGCTCTTTGTTTTTGAAATAGAAATGTGGTCTCTCTCTCTCTCTGTCACGCTGTCCCCAGGAGACACATGTAGTGATTCACTCTTTCCTATTAAACGGAGGAACTGAAACGTCTGTTGGGCCTTCTGCATTCATTTCACAAATCCTCCCGTCATAGCCCTCCTCTGTGGCTCGCCGCTCTGTGTTTTTGTGTGTTTGTGTGTGTGCAACAAACACAGCATTAGACAAAGGCAACAGTCCACTTTACTTTTCGTTACTCACGTAGCACCAGGAATGGATAAGAAGTCTTGTCCTGAGGGGAAAAAGTTTGACAACTTAGTCCACACGTGTGTGCCCAGCAAGTCACTAATGAGATCTAACCCTGATCCACCAAAAGGTGAGCTTCACTGAATTCTAATCATTTTTTTCTGCCTCTTGGGCACAAGTTTGTTCTCTCAGCGTCCTGCCTCTGTCTTGGAGTATGTCTCAGTTGTGGATTCAGCATGTCTTTACAACTTTATCATGTAGACTTTTATTTTACCTGACTACCTAATACATCAACGTTATCAACTTCTTTTTTTCTTGTACAGCCGCTTATAAAATGAGTGAGCGAGTCAGACTTGAGTTCATCCTTTTTCTTTCTGAAACTTTTCTTACATGTCAGAATGCAAACTGTTTAACTGTTGAGGTAGTCAGCGTGTGGCTGTCCTCCCCCCTCACAGAGCCGCCCCTGACTGTCGGGAACCAGCTCAAAGCCATAAACACCACTGTCAAGCCCACCTCGATGGTGGTGCTGAGTCCGACTCTGTGGATTTCTGTGGTCGTGGTCGTGGTGGGGTCCATCTTGGCTTTGACTCTTTGGTTTATCATATACAAGCGACAGACCAGACGCAGCAGCACCTCCGGTAAGGACAACAAGCTTTTGATGGTTTGTGTCACTTAGAGTGTTACGGTTTATAAGTTTGCCTAACAAGTGAAAGATCCCTGGTTCGATCACAGGAGGAGACACAAATCCCTTTGGGGTAGTGTCAGGAAGGGCATTCGCTGTAAAAATCTACCAAAATCATACACGCAGACCTCCCCGCTGTGACCACCGCTCGTGAAAAAGGAGGAAGCTGAAAGCGGCTTTTATAGTTGTTTAAATTACGCTCATTAGACTAAATAGCAAAATATTCATCAGATGCTTTTAATACATCTAGTGATCTAGAGAAGTTATAAGAGGTCTTTTCCTAAGATACATATTTTACAAGACAACGTGGTTTTTGAAGCTGTGGAGAGAAGTCGGTTTACTTAAAAAGAGGAGATCTGACACGCAGAGCTGACAGTCGGGTGGAGGAAACAGGGCTGCAGAAGGGCAGGTGATGAACTGTGACGTTCAGCACAGTAGAAACTCCACAGTTTCTGTTCTCTTCTTCTCACTTGTCCCAAGGGTCAGTCCCGCTCCCTTACCATCTATTCTGGTTTCAGCACACATCCGCTGGTTGGGCAAGAAAACGTAGGCACCCCCCGCACAACATTGAAAACACATAAACAGACTCTTCCGTGCCAGAGGTTGTACAGGGCTGTGAAAAAGTATTTGGCCCCTTCCTTATTTTTTGTGTGTTTTTGCTTGGTTATATTTATATGTTTCAGGTCAACTAACAAATTTTAACATTATTAAATACAAAATGATGTTTTGAAATGATTATTTCCCTTCTTAAGGGGAAAAAGTTATCCAAACCATATGTGAAAAAAGTAATTGTTTGCTCAAAAAATTAAATAGAACCGGTATGACAAAGTGAAGTAGGCTGAAAGATCTCAAACCAGCACAGCATGCCACCATCTAAAAAAACTCTGAGAGACAAAGTCATTGATATCTATTTGATTACACATTCTATTAAATTTTATTTATCCAGCGCCAAATCACAACAAAAGTTGCCTCAAGGCGCTTTATATTGTAAAGTAGACCCTACAATAATAGACGGAGAGAAAACCCCAACAATCATATGACCTCCTATGAGCAAGCACTTTGGTGACAGTAGGAAGGAAAAACTCCCGTTTAACAGGAAGAAACCTCCAGCAGAACCAGACTCAGGGAGGGACGACAATCTGCCATGACCAATTGGGGAGAGAGAAGGAAGACAGAATAAAAGACATGCTGTGGAAGAGAGCCACGGATTAATAACAAGTATGATTCAATGCAGAGAGGACTATCAACACAACAAAGCAATTTTGAAAACTTTGGAGCTCCACTGAACCACGGTGAGAGCCATTATCCACAAATAGAGAAAACGTGGAGCAGTGGTGAACTTTCCCAGGATTGGCTGGCCCACCAAAATTACTCCAAGAACGCATCCATCACTCATCCAGGAGGTCACAAAATAACCCAGAACAGCATCTAAAGAACTGCGGGCCTCACTTTCCTTAGTTAGGGGAAGTTCATGGTTCAACAATAAGAAAGATACTGGGCAAAAAATGGCATCCATGGAAGAGTTCCAAGATGAAAACCACTGCTGACCAAAAAGAACAAAAGGACTCGTCTCATATTTGCCAAAAAACCTCTGGGAAAATATTCTGTGGACTGATGAGACAAAAATTTATTATTTTTTTAAGATTTGTGTCCTGCTATGCCTGGCATTAACGAACGCAGGAGTTCATAAAGACAAAATCATAACAACAGTCAATTATGGTGTTGGTAGTGTGACAGTCTGGGGCTGTTGCTGCTTCAGGACATGGATAACTTGCTGTAATCAATGGAACCATAGAATCTGCTGTCTAGCAGTAAATCCTGAAGGACAATGTCCGACCATCAGCTCATGGCCTGAAGCTCAAGTGCACTTGGGTTATGCAGCAGGACAATGATCTGAAACACACCAGCAAGTCCCCTCTGAATGACTCCAGAAATCTAAAATAAATGTTTTGGAGTGGCCTAGTCAAAGTCTGAGCTTAAATCCAATTGAGATCTTTTGGCATTCATGCCTGAAAACCCTCCAGTGTGTCTGAATTAAAACAAGTCTGCAAAGAAGAGTGGGCCAAAATTCCTCCACAGTGATGGGAAAGACTCATTGGCAGTTATCACAAACGCTTCATTGCAGTTGTTGCTGCCAAAGGTGGCACAGCCTGTTATTAGGTTTCTGGGAAATGACTTTTTCATACAGGGCCATGCATGTTTGGATAGATTTTTTCCCTTGATAAATGAATCCATTATAATAACAGCATTTTGTATTTACTCAGGTTTTCTTCGTCAAATACTAAAATGCGTTTGATAATCCGAAATACGCAGCTGTGACAAACATGCAAAAAAACTAAGAAATCAGAAAGGGGTGCAATTACTTTCTCACAGCACTGCATAGCCCGAGGCTGAACATTTGAATGCTACAGATTTACTTTGTGAAAACACAAAACCTGTGAAACTAAAACTGACAGTCTGACAGCCAACAGCAGCTGCTTTTAAAGGCCTCTGTGTCTGATGATGGCCTGAATCAGACACACGAGTTTTTGTGTTTCGTAAATACACCAACATGACTGTGGCCATTTTTTCAATCTCCTGGAATGCAGCTCTCATTCAGCCTTAACTTAATTTAAAAAAAGAGGAAAAACAAAGAAAGGGCTGAGGAGAAGCTCAAGTCACTTGGGCATCCTTTGCGTCAGTGAATAATCTGTCGACTCACACCTCTTACCACAGGAAACATGGAATGTAAAAACATTACTGCTTAGCTGCTTTTTGTTGCAGAGCAGTAGTTCAAACATTTTAGTTGCACGCCTACATTTTTCCCAATCTTTACTTTGATAACAGCTCGTGCTGAGCTTTTTTTTTTTTTAAAGTCACAGTAAAGTTTTCTCTAAGATATGAAAAATTAGGAATTTAGCAAATAGGATGTAAATTAAAAATCATATATGCAAATTAATATTTAATTTAAATTGTCAGGAGGTTCACTGAACAATCAACTAAAAAAAAATAGAATTTTGTGGCAATTTTTTTTAATGGTACAGCCTTTAAAGGGGCAATATATTCACCCACAGTTCTGCTGTGAGAAGTCCCGCCCACTTTCTGTGCAAACCTTCTGTTTTTGAGGGGCAACCAGTCAGAAGAAGTCCTCTTTTTCATACAGAGGATTTATACTCATCAACCTCATGACCTCATTAACTGTTTTGATAGACATTCGTTTAATTATTTTAAAGCATGTTATGAACCTTTAATTTAAAGAAAAACATGATTACCTTTAATATATAAAAAGCACCTTATTGATCAATTGAGAAAATAAGGGGGGTATAATGTTGTGAATGGCTGAGGAGTCTTTCAGCGTGAACGTTCAGTGACAGTTTTTCTGTTGTTTGTGTCACAGAGGATGGCATGCCAAGACAGGAACTTCTTCAGAAAGCGCAGCCACCTGCCAAACTGCACCCTCTGCCCTCAGAAAGAAACGGTCAAGCTGAGATATTTCAGAGAGCGGCAGAGGCCCCATCACCCTGCTCTCACGTGCACTCTGGGAGCCAAACAGGCTCAGAGTGGGAGAATGGCTTCACAGCTTGCAGGGACCTCATGATGCGTGGTGGAGCAGAGGTGGGCGGAGACTCGCCTGCATGCAGCACAATGGCGGAGCACAGGATCCCACTTCCTGCCACAGAGCTGGGTGGCACTGCTTTAGTTACAACTAAAACCATGTAAGGCTGCGGGTGTGTGGTCGTACTCTTTAAGCACGCTGTGGGGAAACACATTTGTTTGCTCACTAACATTGTGGCCACACCTCTCCCTTTTGTGGGCAAAAAGCAAGTTCATTAAACCTTAGAGTGAAGACTTGGCTTCAGGTTGGGGTACAGCTTTCATGAGTACTGAGAGAGGTCTCCATGAAATGTGAGGTCGAAGTAATATTCTCTAAAGAGATGAAAACACACCTGTGTTCTTAAAAACTTATATTCACTGCATTTATACTGCACGTTGTACTCAGTATACTGAGATTTCTGTGTTTCTACCATGTTTTTATGGGTTTTTTAAAAATAAGATTACGATTTTCTACAGCTGTTTTTATTCCTCTGCACTGCTTGTGTGAAAAAAATAGTGTACCAGGTGACTGTATAGTTTGTTGTTTTTGCCATTGTACAGGAAAAGTACAGGAACTGCTTTAAATCTTGTGTCGTATTTCAAACATGTTTTAATAAAACAAACTAAAAATCAACACAAATATTTCTGATGCTGTGAAAACGGAAAGGTAGCATCATTACAGTGCAAAATAGTCTTGATGAGTACTGTTTGGATAGAGTTCCACTGTCTTTGAAGCAGAAAAATATTTACACGATAAATATATATTTTCTTTATCACGTGTTGCTCAATCAGTGAGCTTCCTGCAGGCAACATTGAGACATAAACAGAAGGATGGCTCAAAGTAAAGAAGAGTGCACTGGGTATCCTCGTCCACGTTATCTGGATCGCTTATGGAGAAACAATTGTATATAAATATGCCGCTCTTTGTGCCACAACAGTAACTACTTAACATCTTTAAAGGATCAGCAAGGCGAGTTGATCTCAAGGCGTTAGGCTGTTGGGGATGAAGAGACGTGCTGCTGCGGCGTTGTCTCTCCAACCGATGAATGAACAAAGCTGTCCAAAGAAACCCAGCAGTCCTGAATCTAACTTGACAAACTTGTACGAAGTCTACATCTTGTGCTGAAAGCTCTTCTATGATCACAGGTAGGTGCTCGGGTTCTCAGTGACAGCTAGGTGGAAGTACTCTGGCAGGCTGTCGCTCTGCGCGCTGCTGTTGGTCTCCCTCCGGCGGATTTTGGTGGACAGGGTCTTCCTCTTTTTGAAGCTGTCCCCTCCACGCTTCTCCAGACTTAACACGATCATCTCTGCCAGATCCTTCTGAAGCGACTGGAAGTTCTCCCTGAGACAGTAACATTGTTTTAGATTATTGTGTAATGATGTAAAACTAAAATTAGGTATCAGGCAGATTCTGAAAAAAAATGTGGAACGGTAAAATATAAATTGAAAACCAAATGCTAGCCTACAATATATTTTATCTAATATTCAATCTGTCTAAAAGAAAACTACATTACAAGGGGGAAACTGCTCTTTATGAACTCAGTGTGCATAACATTGGACAAGCTTTGAACCACCCTTTAGATCCATAGGTTTTTTGGATTGTGCCACAATTATGTAATTTTTTCAGATCAAATATTTTAAATGTGACTGAAGTGCAGACTTGCAGCTTTAATACAAGGGGTTTAACAAAAACTATTGCATTACAAAGGCTCAAAAGTCATTGGACAGCTGACTGACAAGCTAGCTATTTCACTACCTACAAGCAGACGAATGATGAAAAATGTTTTCAACAATTTGGAGCCTTCTTTGTGATATTTTTTCTTTCATAATATGAAAAATACTTTCAGTGAGTGCCAGGTCTGAACTTCAGGCTGACCAGTTTGACTCTTTTACTGTAACATGTCCACAGGGTAGTCTGGTATTGTCTCGCTAAAACAAGCAAGGCTGGAAAAGCAGTTATCTGAGTGGCAGCATGTATTACGCCAACATCCGCATAATTCATCCTGATGTAGTAACTTTTTAAAAAATTTACAGTTAATTAGTCTATCAATTAACAAATGAAGCACTTTAAAGTAGGTGGTAATCTAATAATATAAAGAACATACATTATTTATTAAATCATAATACTGTTTACGTATTGTGTTCAGGGTATACCAGAGTTCTTCAACAGTTTGTGTAAAAAATCTTTATTGATAGGACTTTACTCACGCGCTCGGTGGCGTCGGCAGGTTGTAACTTCCCCCGGTCACGCCTGTTAACCAGTATGTCATCATTTTTCCTTTACCCTGTGGGTGAAGTGCAGACAAACAGAAACACTCACACACACTCGTGACCTCAGTTTGTGCGGTATGGCATTTAAAGTAAATAAGTAAGTTAAAAAGCCCAACACCACCCAGCTCACCTTCAGATACGTCTCTCCTCGTTTTTCATACTCAAACTTGCAGTCCGTCCTCTGCAGGATGTTGATGGTAGACTGGCTGACATGAATTCTCAGAGCTGGAAAGATGATGTGAAAAGCAGCCATCAGACTCTGTGCTTGCATCTGCCCTCCCTTTGTGCCAATTCAAGCTAAGCGCCTAAGCTGCCAGTGTTGTGAGTGTGTAAAATGTGTGTGGTTGTCTTACGCAGGCCTGTGGACTCCATCCGTGAAGCCGTGTTAACCGTATCTCCAAAGAGACAGTAGCGAGGCATCTTCTTCCCCACCACTCCTGCTGCACATGGTCCTGGACACAATTACATAACAAGATTCAATTTATGCTCCTTTAAAAAAAAAAGTATTTAGTTTTTTATTAGCATATAATTAACATTAACCTACACATATATTATTTGGCCACTAGATGTCAGCAGCTCCATGACAGACAAAGGAAAACCGAGTTTGAGGGCTACACACAGAGAGGTCTAAACTTAATGGTTTATAGAATTTTTAGGAGAACATTAACAAACATGAAATTATGCTTCAAACTGATATTTCCACTAATGCACCCCCATACCATCAGAGATAGATAATTATGAACTGAGTGCTTGCTGCTGAACACTTGCTACCCTCTTTAATCTGGAGGATGTGGCACATCCATGTTTGCAAAAAAAAAAAAAAGAAACATTTTTTTTGGATTCATCTGACTACAAAATACTTTTTCACTTTGTCTCAGTCCATTTTAAATGAGTTTTGGCTTAGCATAGACAGAAGTGTTCCTGCATCATGTTGACGTTTGGCTTCCTTTTTACATGATAGAGTTTGTATTTGTAGATGGCACGGTCGGCTGTGCTCACAGACAATGATTTTTGGAAGTGTTGCTGAGCCCATGCAGTGACAGAATCATGTCTGTGTTTAGTGCAGCGCTGCCTGAGAGTCCGAAGATCACAAGTATCTTTGTATTGATTTTCAGTCTTGGCCCTTGCACGGCGAGATTACTGCAGATATCTCAATCTGTGATCATATTATCTAGTGTAGAGATGATCAGTTTGTCAAAGTCTTCACAATTTCACTTTGAGGACCATTATTATAAAATTGTTCCATAATTTTGAGACATAAAATCTTTGCAGATCTGTGAACCTCTGCCAATCTTTACTGGTAAGAAATTCTATATTTTCTCCTCTTTTTTCCAGCTTTTTGTTGCTGCTGTTAACGAGCAGTTGCCAGGAGTTTTCATAAAATGTTACATTTATTCAATTTAAACATTTGATGTATTTTTTATTCTCTGTTGTGAACATCATTTGTGGCTTTATGAAGTTTGTAGATCATTGAACTCTGTCTTTATTTAGATTTTACACAGCTTCCCAACTTTTGCAAAATTCGGATGAGACCATAGTAAAATCATTGTGAATCTCTGGTACCTGAATGTACACCAATACGGATCCATAGAGGAATCCCAGGCAGGTGCTCCAGCTCAAACGTCCCCACAAATGATAGGATGTCCAGGGCCATGTGGGCAATGTCCAATGCATGCCTGTTGCCGTTACGTTTGGGCAAACCGGATGCAACCATGTAAGCATCTCCTATCGTTTCAACCTACGAGACAATGGAAATGTAACTTATCTATAAAATCTTTGTCTTTATTCAAAAAGAAAATATTTATGTCTAACCCTAAGCACTTTCTTAGAAATTATAGATTAATGCTTAAAGAAATTGTGACCTCCTTGATAGTAGAGGCCTGGGTTTCTGTTATCCTGCTAAGCTACCTTGTAGACATCATGGTGATCAAGAATGCTGTCAAAGTTCTTGTAGATTTCGTTGAGCATATCGACCACCTCCATGGGGGTGCTGTAGTAGCAGAGGGTGGTGAATCCCACAATATCACTGAAATAGATGGTGACCTCCTCAAACAGCTCTGGCTCCACACTCCCCGTTTCCTTCAGGGAACGCACCACTGGGCTATGGAGACGCAGAGAGAGTGAAAAATGTGATTACTGTCAGATATATTAATGTTACATGACTACAACATGTAAACAGCATGATGGGGGTTTTCAGCCTCTACACACAGTAAATGCTGGAGTGTAAATTCTGCGCTCAGTCATGACCAGAGATGGGTAATCTGATTACTTAAACAAGCACCGAGTGTGCAACGACGTAATGGGAAATTGACAGAGAAACTCGCGGATTCTTCCACTGACCGCTGCGGCTCACCTGCACCAGGGCAAACCACCCCACGCCTGCTTTACAGGTGAAAATAGAGCAACAGGACCGCTGAGTCTTTGATTTTATTTATTTTCAGCTGTGTTTTACTTGCATCTATTTGAAAGACTGAGTGTAAACACAAAAAATATTTTATTTTATGTGCTGGAATGTGAAGAAAATGGGTTTATATGTTAAACTAATTTCTTCCAGTCAGAGAATGTTGCATATAATTTAATTTTTGCTTGATACATAAAGTTAAAAGATTAAAACTGTTAAAAGAAGTTTAAAAAAAGAGACTTTTCCATTTGATTACATTTTGTATGATGGATTATGTAGAAAAAGTAGAATTGTGCTGAAAGATCTATCGCTTTATCACCTCTTCAGGTTGTAAATCGTGTTTTTAAAAAGTAACTAAGTAATTAATTACTTTTGAAAATAAGTAATCAGTAAAGTCACGGGATTACTTTTTTGGGGAAGTAATCAGTAATTAGTTACTGATTACTTTTTTCAAGTAACTTGACCAACACTGGTCATGACTATGCAGTTATAAGGCTGCATAGTCAGATAGAATGCCCAGAAGAGACGGCGGTCATTACTTCAACAGTAAATGCACAAGTGTACAATCAAATTCATGATTAGATTTGTGATGGCAAAGTCACTTTGAGGATGATAATCCATCTTGTTACAGAGCAACGAATGCTAAATCTTTTCTTGCTGAAAGGCAATCAAAGGAAAAGGTCTGTATCTCTATCCAAATAAAAATGAATGAAAAACAAAAAATGGACAACAACAAGCCTCCTCCCTACAAAGCTGACCTAGCAACTTATTTCTGACCTCAAAATGTTGGAAGCAGTTTGATGGACAATTATTTTTCAATAGTAAACCCCAGGCCTGATATAATTCTGACCATTATAAAAGCTGGATGCTGTGCAACAAAGTATTAAGTGTTTTTAATACTTCTTAATTTTTTTTCTTCTGCAAAAACAAATAAAAGAATGAAGTGTGGAGATTCTATAGAT